AAACTTTATTTTTGTCCACTCACATATTTCTGTTTTGCGCCCCCCAGGCAGTAATTGCTTTTGGAAGCGTTCGAGCAGGTTGCGAGCTCCAAATTTTTCATCAGTTGTTAGGGTCTGTGTAAATTCCTTCTACTCAACTGTTTGTTGTAAACAAAATCTGTAGATGCTCTGTTATCGCCCATGATAGGTTGCTACTTGAGGCCAGAGGCCATTTTATGTTGGATTGTTGTATGTTAAAAGCATGTTGGCAGTTGGGATATATCTATTATGTAAATTATGCAGGTTGAATATTGTTGGGTATGAGCATTTTACAGGGGAGACTCTGCCAAAATTTTGGTAGGATGTCTTGGATTTTTAGTAGTGGGCCCGGCATCGGTGTGATGTCGGCACCAAGACGGGGTCCGCCCCGGTTTCAGGGGAAATTTTGGGGCGGGTCCTGTCATCCAACCCTATATGCCTTTATGAAGCATTATAGTTCATGGAGCTAGCCATGGAGATGGAGCATGGTGTTGGTATAAGTTGTCAACTCATCAAATAACTAAACAATTTCCAATTTGATTGAGTTTTTGCACATATGATCTTTAAATTGTGATTTAAAAAATGAATGGTTTAGATGATGACACGTATATTGTCACTTAATCACACTACACTCAAACCTCTCAAGACACTCAAGGGACCCAAAACCTTACAAAAGGTCAGTTCATGATGCAAAGGACTCAAATGATATGGATGCATATTCCTTTCTTGCATTCTTTGATACAATTGTAGAGACGTCTTGTATAGAACTTTATATACTCTGAAATGTATAAACCAAATGCAAGAAAAGCCTAGCTGCAATTTAAATGCTGAAAAGTCAAAGTATTCTTTGTTGCTGCTATCTTGTCCATTTCCTCTGTTATGGAAACTTCAACAAAGATTATACACAAAAAGAGTGACACATGCATGCATAGCATGGGTGTGGACAATCTGGCAGCCACATCACCGCATTTTGTATGGCTAGCGTTTATCTTGAGCAAGCTCATTCATAAATTAATCTCTAAACTTTTGTGAAAGATAAAATCAATCAAAATCAAAGAATTTGTCCTTTTGTTTTCAGAGAAGATTCAAAATGGACTTGAAGAATTATGACTTTGCCACTCAGGGAGGAATAACTGCTGCACACCCACGCGCATACCTCTAGATATATTTTGACAATTATTCACTGACTCCTCAGATTGCCAACAACCTTAGAATTTTCATCTAGATTAAGCATATGCATGATATATATATAGGCCAAGAAAAGGGGCCAAAAACCTTAGAATTTTTAGTCTCTCTTTGCTCACTAAGAATGTGTTCTGGATCTCCAAACCCAGAAGCCCAAAAGAAGCATTTTGTGCTGGTTCATGGAGCTGGCCATGGGGCATGGTGTTGGTACAAGTTGTCAGCTCTGCTCATCTCTGCAGGTCACCATGTTACAGCTCTAGACCTAGCAGCATCTGGAGACAACCCAAAACAGATCAATCAAGTCCATTGCTTCGCGGACTATGTTGAGCCGTTGATTGAATTCATGGAGTCTCTCCCACCAGAGGATAGGGTTATCTTGGTGGGCCATAGCATGGGTGGAACCTCCATATCTATTGCCATGGAGAGGTTCCCTGAGAAAATTTCTGTTGCTGTATTTGCTACCGCTGTGATGCCTGGCCTTACTTTGAGTTACTTGACCATAGTTAAAGAGGTATATTTATGAGTTCCACACATATACCCTTTTGTTTAATTTTTTTCCATATACCCTTGAAAATATATTTACTAAAAATAATATGTTACAGGTTGGTAGTAGATTGGAAATAAAGGATTCTGAATATAGATATGATAAAGGACCCAACAACCCTCCTACATCGGCAATTTTTGGTCCCGAACGTATAACTTCAGTGTTGTACCAGCTCTCGCCCCCAGAGGTAAATTTTGAGGGAAAACGGCGAGAAATTGTTTGAGATATATCTATACTATTATATAAACTTGGAAAACGTCAAATTATATTCCCATTTTAAGTAAAACAAATCTAAATCTAGAATTTAAAATGGGTTATTTACTGTAATGGTTCTTGAATTTATACGCGACTTTCATTTTGGTATACCAACTCATTTTTTAGTTTATGTCGCCCTCCCTCTATCTCACGCATTCTAATTTCATCATTCAGTCAAATTTCGTAAATTTTTCCATCTATTGGTGAAACTAGGGTATAAATTTAGAAACTATGACAGTTATAAAAAAAAAAAAAATTAATGGTGTGGACCCAGAAATATTTGTAGGGGTAGGCTAAATTTTTTTTCAATATATTTTCTTCATCATATTTAGAACTTTTTGTTTATTATACAACATTTGAAACAGAAAAATATTGGAATTATTGATAATATTATTGAAAGATTTAGAAGAGATTAAAGGGAAACAAAGAAAGAAAGAAAAAATTTGTCCATGTCGGGCTGATTTATTTCTTTGATTGGTCTAGATTGAGCCGTACACAATATGCCTAATCTCAAAGTGAGCACATGCTAGTCTATTCGTGGATCCGCCCTTAAAAAAAAACCCCTATTAAAATTAAGGGTGCCATAGTAATTATGCCCATTTTATGCATGTGGAGGAGTCTAGTCTACATCCATCTAGGTTCAATTTTCCAATTGGTTAAGCTTCTACGTTTCCTCTTTTTTCTTTCATTTGTTTATTTATTTTTGATTTGGATGTCAACAGGACTTAGCACTGGCGTTGTCATCGCTGAGATATTTCCCTCTCTTTGACGAGGAAATAAAACTCACCAAGGAGAAATATGGGTTGGTTCGTAGAGTATATATCGTGTGCGACCAAGACCTTGCCATAGGGGAGGATGTGCAACGGTGGATGATCAAGGAAAATCCTCCACATGAAGTCAAAGTGATCAATGGTTCTGATCACATGCCCATGTTCTCCAAACCGCAGGAATTCTTTTCCACCCTCCAAGAGATTTTCTGAAAAATATTCCTAAACATCGTAGGCACCCACCTGATAAACTATAGCTATAGATCGATGCAGTCCAACCAAAGTCGTCTCCTACAACATATGTTTTCTGCGAAGCTTCTAGTGTACGCAGCAATATTGCTGTTGTTGCCACCCTTACCAAAAGAACGGTGAAGTTCAAATGCCTTGTCAAAATTTATACATGACTGTATAAGCCAACTTTCCGGCAGCCATGTGGGTCGCCTAACTCCTCTTGTCTCTCTGTATCAGCCACTGATAGGTTGGAAAGAATACGCAATAACCATTTATAATGAAGTCAAATTGTAGTAGTTACACACAAAAAATCTAGCTAACATATTTTAAATTTTAAAAACATAACTTTGTCCTTTAGAATCGTTAACCAGCTAGCAGTCTGGAATATATGCCTGCAGGGTACTCGGAAGTCAACTTTATAATTCTATTCCAGTAAAATAAAAAAAACCTTCCAAATTCAATGAGAAGTATGGATCAGTTCGTAGAGTATTCGTCGGGTGCGATCAAGACCGTACATTAAACAAGGATTTGCGACAATGGATGATCAATCAAAATCCGCCAGATGAAGTCAAAGTGATCTATGGTTGTCAGTGGCGGATCCAGAATTTGAAATCCAACTAGGCGAAACTCACATTAAAAACTCGATGTTATGAGTGAATCTCATTAATAAACATAAAAATATACACTTAGTATGAGGACATAATGAGCCTTACCCTCAAATGCATCTCTATATATAAATAAAAATATAGCGAAAAAAAAAAACTATTCTTTTTCTTAAAAAAAAAAAATTCCAACAAATACTTTATTTTCTTGGGATTCGAATTGTAATCTGACATAATAAAAGATAACATATTTAATCCAACATCCCAACAAAAAATCAAATAAATTATCATAATAACATCAATGCCTTTAATCAAACATTAACATACCAACAACAAATCAAAACATCTCAACAATACCAATATCAAATCAAACATCTCAACAAAATTCCAAAAATCAAAGAGAAGATAATTAAAGAGGAGAAATTTTAGGTTATGCATACATAACATATGGCTTACTTTTTGGGTGGGCATTGGTTTGTATGTTTCATATGGGTATTTTTTATTTTTGAACATTTTGGGGTAGGCAATAGCCTACCTTGCCTTAGGTATAGGACCGCCCCTGATGGTTGTGATCACATGGTAATGTTCTCTAAATCGCTGGAGCTGTTCTACTACCTGCAGAAGGTTGCTGAATGCTGAGGGTTGTTAAATATTCATAAAATTAAAAACAATAAAAGAAAAAAAATTAAAAATAAAGTGAGCACCTGGCAACTAGCTAGGAGCTTTATCATCGTTGTACAATGATTTATGATGCAACCACATATGAATAATAATATATAACCTCTTTCTCTGATTCCTTAACTTATTTGTAATTTGGAATTTCCAAACCAATCTTTTTATACATCTTCATCTCTAATTCTAAATGTTTGGTACTATTAGCTTGTCACATCTTCAATCTGATCGATCCATGAATCCCTAACCTCGAAAAATATATTGGAAATTAGCTTAACATCAAACAAATATATATTATTAAATGTAACCAAAAGCCACATAATATCAAAATGAAAATATGTTCAACAATAGAATTAATAGTATATATGAGCACAAGGTCATCTAAATCTTTAGATTTGAATTTTTGCTTTTGTTTTTAAAGAAGATTGCTAGCAGCATAGACTTGGAGATTATGACTTTGCCTCTGGGGGAGGATTAATTAATTAATTATTTGTACAATAATTCACTGACTTTTCAGATTGCCAACATCATCTGAATTTTTTTATATCACCGGTTTGTAACACTAGACCAAATGCATTATAGTACAGGCCAAGAAAAGAGAGCGAGGTTTGTACGAAACATGGTGAATATGAGAGTGAAGCATTTGGTGTCTTTCCTTTTGTTTCTTAGCTTCACCAGAATCTGCACCCCATCTCCAAACCCAGATGCAAACCAGAAGCATTTTGTGCTGGTTCATGGAGCTGGTCATGGGGCATGGTGCTGGTACAAGGTCTCAACTCTACTCACCTCAATTGGTCATAATGTTACAGCTCTAGACCTAGCAGCATCTGGGGTCAACCCAAAGCAAGTTCAACAACTTCATTCTCTCTCGGATTACGTTGAGCCATTGATGAGATTCATGAAGTCTCTCCCGCCAAAGGAGAGGGTCATCCTTGTGGGCCACAGCATGGGTGGGGCCGCCCTATCCATTGCCATGGAGAAATTCCCTAAGAAGATTTATATTGCAGTATTTGCCACCGCTGTAATGACTGGTCCTGCTCTCAACTACTTAAATTTGTCATCTCAGGTAAGGAGTTCGACAGACTCACAGATCACAACATCGCATACTTTGTCCAAAATATGTTAATTTAAAATGTTTTTTAATGTTAGATTTTAAGTGTCCTCTGTAAATTATTTTACCCACCAAAAAAAATTATCGGAGCCTCACCACTTGTCGGTGGTAAATTTGACAATACATTTTGCTAGTACCGTTCAAAAAAGATTACTAGTCTATTAATCCTTAAATAAACATATCGTTACTTTTTATATCTTTAAAAACAATATATATATGAACGATAGTTAAGGGGATTTTGTTATGTGTAATGTATAGTTAAGGGAATTTGGTTTTAAATTTCGAGTTCTCATTGCACAATTAATTAAACCCATCAGATTAGGGATGACTAGCTAGTAACCAACAATAACACGGAATGACATGACATGATGATACAAACACAATATATATAACCCTTTAATATTAAAGTCCAAATGTATCGACCAATCTTCTGACTTTGATATAAAAGAATTTCTGTATATATATATGATGAATATTAATAACTACGCGTTTAAAAAATTATACAGATTTTGAACAGTCGGGATTTGATGGACAATCAGTTTAGATATGATCGGGGACCCAACAATCCTCCTACCGCCGCACTTCTTGGGCCAAAGTTAATGTCATCGTCAATGTACCAACTCTCACCACCAGAGGTATGTCTTTACAAAGAAAGAACAGTAAAAATTGATTTTATGCACGTGTCCTTTTAGCTAATATTGTTCATCTTTCTCTTTTCTTTCTTGATTGGTGATGATCAACGAACAGGATTTAACACTAGCATTGTCCTTGGTGAGATTCACTCCTCTCTTTAGTGATGATATAAAACTCACTAATGAGAAATATGGATCGGTTCGTAGAGTATTCATCGGGTGCGACCATATAGTAACTGACAAATGGCGAATGTTGATGATCAATAAGAATCCGCCGAATGAAGTCAAATTGATCAATGGTTCTGATCACATGGTGATGTTCTCCAGACCGCTTGAGCTGTTCTCCTACCTCAAGGAGGTTGCTGAGAGTTAGACTTTCATAAAAAATGCAACCATATATGAATGAACTTCTGGAAAATAAAATGTAATCTATATGACAAATTTAATTTCGTAGATCATAAGGCTCAACGGATCTCTAAGTGTGATGTTTAAAATAAAAAAAATTTGATGTCATTAATAACGGATCACCTACTTTTATGATGTAGATTAATTTGGTACTTATTCGATGTGAGTCCATAATCACTTCCACATCCATGCTTGTATCGAGCCACATACAACTCCAACAAAAATTCTTATGACAAGTATAGTAGGACTTCTGGTATATACAAGGGCGGAGCCACTAAGGGACCAATGTGGCTCCGGCCCACACCACCCCCTAACCCCCAACTCCACAATTTTAATTTATATTAAAAAAAATATTATATATTAATATCTTTTATGATACTTCTAATATTTCTAGGGTTTTCTCTTCAAGTTTACATTTTTTTTTCTTCATGTTTTAGATCAATTTTCTAAAAATTTAGTATGCGTATTATTATTTTTTACACAAGGCCTTCAAATCTAAGAGTCATTTTCACCAATTTCTCTAGATTTGTGACTACTTATTCTCTTATTCTCTTATTCTCTTATCAAGTTTCAATTGGGTTGACTCACTTAATTAAGATTGTTAATCTTTCTCTTATTTTTTATTGTTTTCAAACCTTAAGACCGCTGTTGTTTGAAAGTCAGCTCTACTACTAATTAGGAGAATTGTTGGAGCAAACTTATGACATCCGATATAGTCCATGTTACCCACCGTCCAATACCAAAAATACCATACCGTGATTAAATTATATCTCAAATAGTTCTTAAGCTAGTGATATATCGTCTCCAAATTCAAATTCCCTCTAATAAAATATGAATTTTTTTTTTTAATTCGGTTAGTAAACTTTACATTTATATATTAGGAGTACTATATTAGGTTGTCTCAAAATCGTCTCTTACGTCACAAGAAAGGTTGAATGGATTGGCAATCTTATGCATTGAAAATAATATGTTGGAAAAGCTTGATTTTGAAGATGTTATTTGTGTATTTGATAAAGGGAAAGCATTGGATATTTGCACATTGTAATGGGATGGATCTCTTATTGGCTGCCTGTTTGCTGCAACCATTTCATATGTTGTTTTCAAAGCTGCTTTTGTGATCCAGATTATACACAGACAATGACTTTGCTGTTAAAAGACTTAGACTTTGCTTTATAATTGACCAGGTAGGATTATGCTCTATATGTATGTTGTTACTTATTGTAGTTTCTTTGTCCAATTGTGCTACCATTTGTTACTTTTCTTATGTTGTATGATTCTTTCTGCATACCACAAGGAGGATTTTGCTAAACTCATGTGATGAAGCCTGAAGCCATAAACCAATCTTAAGGGAAAAGGTTTAGTATTTTGAACAAATACTTAGTCTTAATGTATCTTGACATGTTCCCATTATTAGTTGCTGGAATGTTGGTTTGTAAATTTGTAATTTCCTTCATGATATTAAATATCTAATCTGAATTTTTTTTTTACGGAGATATGTCCTATTATAACATCCTACCTTTTTTATTCACGCTCTATGCTCTACATAAAATCATTTTATTTGTTGTTTTTTTGCAATTGTATACCAAGGGAAGGGGGCTCATTTAGTTTATCGCCTAGGGCCACCCAAAAGTCAGAGCCGACCCAGCACAGACCAGTCTGCTCTTCTTGCTCTCAAATCTCATATCACCACTGACCCTCAAAACATCTTGGTCAACTGGTCAACCACCATCTCCGTTTGCAACTGGGTTGCCGTTACTTGTGGCGCTCACCACCTTAGAGTTGCAGTCTTGAACCTTTCTTACATGGGACTCACCAGCACCATTCCTCCGCACCTCGGCAACCTCTCATTTCTTGTTGAGCTGCGCTTGAGAAACAATACCTTTCGTGGCACCTTGCCCCAAGAATTGTCTTATTTACACCGGCTGAAGTTGATTAGCTTCGGATACAACAACTTTATGGGAACCAATCCATCGTGATTTGGCTCCTTCCCCAAACTTGAAACCTTCAACTTGTATGGCAATCAATTTTCAGGTTCCATACCCACTTATATCTTCAACTTATCTTCACTTCAAGTAACCAATCTCAACAATAACCAACTATCAGGTACGTACCTTTTAACATATTACCAATATAAACTTTGTTTTTTTTCGTGCCTTTTTTATATCTTGCCAAATGCACATATTGAACATGTACATGTTACGTATTTGACAGGTAGCATACCGAGAGAAATCGCAAACTTAACCATGTTGAAGGAGATAAACCTTGACTATAACAAATTCGAAGGTGCAGACTGACTTAAGTTCCCAACTTCTGATATTATTTGCTGATGTTTTATGTGCTTTCCATCTAGTAATTTTGCTAGAAATCAAAGCTGACATGCAACTGCAGGGTGTTTTTGTAAAAAATGGTATTTGATATATTTTGTATATTCACAACGTTGAATATATACAAGGATTTATATAGCAGTGCCTAGTACAAGCACCCTATACGTTTTGATCCTACAATTTAGTAATTAACCTGGAATCCTAACTTGCAGCCAACGAATATACAAGCGAGGAAAAGAATATATTTACAATGATTTCATATCTTAATACTTTTAAGGTTTCGTTATAATAATTTCGAACATTGCACCAAAACATATAAGATAATCCTCCATTTATAGCCAAATAGGTGTGAGATACATTAATTTGTTTTTCCTGTGCATTATGTTGGGCCTGTTTGCTATGAGTATAATACGTATGTGTTGAATTTTCAGAAATTCCAAACGAGATCAGCAGTATAGAGCTGCAGTTCTTGTGGATGCAATTCAATGCCCCAAAAGGTCATGTTACTAATGTTGTCTTCAACATGTCTTCTTTGAAAAATCTGGCTCTATCAGGAAACAGTTTGAATGGTAGTCTTCCAGACAACATATGTCAACATCTTTCTGTTATTTGAGGGTTGTATTTGCCTTACAAGTAGAGGTCTCAGGTTTGAACTCCCTATGATATCTTAGTTGTGTGTATGTTAAAAACACCACACATTCCATGTATAGTTTAGACAATCACTTCTACTAAAAAAAATTTGCTACCTCAACAACTTAAATACCCTTAGGGCACTTACTTAGTACTATAAAATTATACAGAATTGCATGGATGTTGTGAAGTCCGGTTTAAAAATAGTGTTATATATATATATATATAATAATCTGACCACATAGTTATTACTTTCATGACAAATTATCAAGAATAGTACTATTGTAAAAGAATACTTACTTGGTTGATTTAAGTGATGCCACGTACCAAGATATTTACATAAGAAAAACTTACCACTCTAGTTTCTTCACAGGTGTAAACTTAGATGACTAAGCTCTTACCTAGATGACTAAGCTTTTGGTTAAAGCATGAGCTGTTGGCCTTAGGAGAAGTGGGATAATCTAGGAAATCAAGTATATCACCAAACCTACACTCCACCAATCACAAACCATCAAGTTACCGCCTTTTACTACTATAAATAGGAAACCAATTCTCTTAACTTGTTGTAAACAGCATGCATGGTAATGCATGATAGGAAGCAATAGAATGAGGAAAGAAAAGGAGAAATATTAGAAAGTGTAGAACTGTTAATGTATGGTTTTTACTATTTTCTTTTGGCTTCCCTTGACAACTTTGTAATAGGATGTGTGTGGAATTTTTGGAAAGATTGTTTTTGCTTTCTTTCTCTTCTTCCTCAAGAGAGAACCATATATTTTTCATCTATGAGTTTTTCCAATTGATTTCTTTTTGAAAAACTGCTTTTGAAAACCCGAATCTGCATCTAGCTATTCAAATCATCTCTCATTTATATCTAGGTCAGATTCAAGACTGATTTCTTCAAGAGTATGGTTTCTTGAAGAAATTGGTCATTCTCCTTTGAATCCAAATATTGTTCTTGGTTCGTGTTGGAACTTGCAAGCTTGTGCCATGGGATGAACGAGCTGGAGAAGGAGCTGCCATTGCCATGAAGAACTGAGCTTCAAGTTTTGCTAAGTTGGAGAAGGAGATTGCACAAAGGAGGTATTGCTCATATTCCTAAATTGACCTAGGTGAATCTTGAGCTTGGTTGTATTTCCTTTGTAAGAATCTTTTTCTACTTAGTGGATTGCCTGGTCGGTTGATGACTCCCAGTTTTTCCCAATGGTGGGTTTCTGGGTGAACAAAATCTGTTTTGCATATCTGTAATTTTTCTGGGTTTGTGTTCTTGATGGTTGACTAGTCATCTTTATCTGCTGTTTGATGTTTGCATGATTTTGATGATTTCACACACTTTCACATAGTTGTTGCTAGCACAGGGGATGCCTAGATTGATGGGTCCTTCTGAGTGCGTAGGTTGTCACTAGTAATCTTCTAGGGTTGCAGGTACATTGTGGTATGATCTGTGTGTTCTCTTGATTGTGATTGTTCATGACTAGCAGTTGACTAGTCATACGTGTATTTGGTCAAGGTTTAAAGTGTGTGAAGATTGCTGAGTTGTTTTGTCTTGGTTGTGTAATTAAATCTACCATTTGTCACCTAAGTACCAATTTCAAAAAAGTTTGTTGAAGGAACACGAGGTGTTTGAACTTACAACTAGGAATTATACAATAGCTTTGGATTTGAGGTAGGGGTTTTTCTTGGGGAGGTTTTGCATACATTGATTTAATTAAATATTGTAAATGCTATATTATGCTTGGTAATATTATTTGATTATTATTGTAAATACTATATTATGATGGGTTATTTCATTTGATTGTTATCCTTGAGATTGGGTGTATATGTATTGTCAATTATCATTATAATTTGATGAATACTGACATTTTCATATGTTGTCAGTGGTGGTTGGAATTTTTGGGTTGATAAAGAAATTATGGAAAAGAAGATAATTGGAAGAATCTTTTTGTGTAGTTGAGTCTAAACATTATAGGGACCAAGTTCAGGCGAGCCCGTGTGCACAGTAGATTAGGAAATCGGCAGTATAATTGTCGATTGAGTGATTTGGGCTTAAAGATCAATGGTGTAGACAAGATGACTAGCAAAAGGGGAATTATGGGATGATTGAATGGGTGTTAGTTTATATAATGGAGCATTTGGAATTACAGTGGTAAAATGCATGGTATGGGACATGCAGATTTGCTTGCCCTATTATATA